GGGGCGATAAGGCGCGCAGGTGAGTCCCAACTTGCGTCGGGCCCAGATTTCTTTTCGGGCCTCGCCACTCCACACAAGTAAACTTGCCAGAGCCTGAAGAAACAGCCTCCAGGCTCGGCGTCCCAGGCCGCCCGGATGGGGCAGGAGCAGGCGGGGGGTCGCGGGATCGCGCCGCATCGCCGATGCGTTGGCGTTACCCCCGCCTCCTCTCGTTGCGGAAAAATCACGACGGGAGGTCTTTCGCCGTTTTCGGCCTGCGGCGGCCTTCGCCAGGCCCCAGGAGCGCAAACAAACTTATTCAGGACGGGGACCTCCAGGGGTCCACGCTGTGAACAAAATCGGGAACCCGACGACGTTCTTTATTCCGACGTCGCATGTGCATCGCTGGTGCAGTGAAGATGCAGCGCGATCCACCGACTTCGACATTTTCCGCCCCATCTGGGCGGTCTCCGACCGGGCGACGAAGGACGACGTGGTCCAGGTCACATGCAGATGCGCGAAGGCGCTCGCGCTTCGCGCTTCGCGATATGGACGAGCGAGGTGCTCCTCTCCAGGGCGTCCGCGCAGGAGTGCGAGCATCAGCTGCTCGCGCCTCGTGCTTCGCACGTCGCAGAGCGTGCGAAAGTCAAAGAATTGCGTGCGCAATATTGCGCGGCCTGACGTGGACGTTCGACTGGCGACGAGTGCAACATTAGCCATGGAGTTTTCCACCGCAGCGGGCGCCTGTTCTTCAGCGGAAGAGTCTCCCCACGGTGGAAAGTTCCATTCGTCATGTCTCCGCTCGGTGTCGACTTCCTCATCTCATTCGAAGCTTGGAAGTTCAGGGGGGTGGCTTGAGTCGTCACATCCAGCCCTCGGCTGAGGGGGCTCATTTAAAGCTGCTCGTGAGCCTACCAAGACAAGGTGGGCGAACCGACTCGGAGAATGCAAACTTCAGAGCTCCCGCCACCGCCCCCCGGCAAGCTTTTTACTTTTGCCCTGGCAGTCCTTTTGACTAAGTTAAACGGCTCCCCGCCAGAGGTGACGGACGAGCCCTCTCGCCCGCAGGTGGACCCACGATGGGCGCAGGCGGTGGCAATCGGCAGCGTGCTATACACGCGCGTGCCATGATCCTAGAACGCTGTACGTGCGTTTATTTATGAGGACTGGCGGCGCGAATCGTGAAACTCGGTGGCGCAAATCTTGAAAGTCTGGGCCCCCCGAGAAGGCCCCGAGACCGAGAGAGGCACGGCCGTCGCGGTCTTCGTCACGACGCCTGGAGGCTTGGGGCACGAAAGGGTCAGGAGGGGAATCTAGACACGAACGCACACACGCACACACACAAGCACACACACAAACACAAACACAAACACAAATGCAACACATCACACAAGCACAAACACAAAGACAAGCATAAGCACAAGCACAAGCACAAGCACAAGCACAACCACAAGCACAAGCACAAGCACAAGCACAAGCACACACGCACACACATACATAGACATACACTCATATGCAATTATACATACATACGTACATCCGTACATACTTTCATACGCACACCTACATATACATACATACATACCTACATACGTACATACGTACAGACGTACAAACGTACACACGCACAAACGTACACACGTACATACGTACACACGTACATACGTACATACGTGCATACACATCCAACCACACACACCCACACCCACACACACGCCCACACACACACACCCAACACACACCCAACCCCCTCCCCCCCCCACACACACACGCACACAACCACACACACACACCCACACACACACACCAACATACACACACCCACACGCACCCACAAACACCCACAAACACCCACAAACACACAACCACACAAAACCACACACGAACACATAAACATACAAAGGCACAACCACACAAACACACAAACACACACGCACACACACAAGCACACAAGCACACAAGCACACAAGCACACAAACACACACAATCGTACAAGCACGCAAACACACAAGCACGCAAGCACGCAAGCACACACGCACACAAACACACACGCGCACAAACACAAATACACACACATACACACACATTCACAAACATACAACACACATAAACACACAAACACACAAACACACACATGCACACACCATAAACACACACACGCGAACAAACACACACACACGAACACACACACACACACACACACACGCACGACCACGCACGCACGAACACACGCAAACACACACACACACGCGAACACACACACACACGCACGCACACATGCATGCACGCACGCGCACGTACGCACGCACACACGCACGCGCACAAGCACACACACACACGCACACGCGCACACGCGCACACATGCACACGCACACACGCACACACACAAACACACACACACACACGCACACGCGCACATTGCACACATGCACGCACGCACACGCACACGCACACACGCACACACGCACACACACGCACACACGCACACATTCTCACACGCATTCACGCACACACGCACACACGCCGACGCACACGCAGACGCACACGCGCGCACACACACGCGCATACGTGCACTCGCGCTCACGCGACCGCGCGCACACGCGACCGCGCGCACACGTGCGCGCGCGCACACCGCACACTCACACATGTACACACCGATTCGAGATTGTTTTTTCGTACTCTGGCGATAACAGGCCTGACTGGGGGGGAGGGAGGCGGGGGAGGGGGTCGGTCACGTCGCAGCTTGCGCTGGCGCCGATTGGGGATGCTTTGGAATGGCGTACCCCCAGATCAGATGGCGAAGGCGCGAATCGTGACGTGACCAGGGGGGTGAGTGGGGAGGGGGGTGGGGGTGGCGGGGCTTTATCGCGAGTAAAAACGGATTCTCCCCTCCCTCTTTGAGGCGGCAGTTTATCCACAACCACCGCCTGGGGGATCTCGGCAGGGGGTGGATATGGATATGATCGGGTCCTTGGGGGGGCCAACCGCCTGCCGAGGTCCCCCCTGCTGGTTATAAGTAAATCCTCGCCCCGCACCTCCGCTTTCCCTTCGCAGTCGTCGTCGTCGTCGTCGTCGTCGTCGTCGTCGTCGTCGTCGTCGTCGTCATCGTCGTGGTCGTGGTCGTGGTCGTGGTCGGCGTGGTCGTGGCCGTCGTCGTCGTCGTCATCGTCGTCGTCGTCGTCGTCGTCGTCGTCGTCGTCGTCGTCCTCGTCGTCGTCCTCGTCGCCGTCGGCCAGGAGGGCCCTCGCGCCGGTGCCTGGACGGTATCTGGCTGCGGGAGGCCTCGGGCGACCACGTGGTGATCGAGGGGGGCGTGGTGACGTGGCCAGACGGAGGCCTGGGCGGGGAGCAGCCCGCGGAATGTTGAGGAGCGAAAGAAAGGCGCACACGCGCATGAATCCACGTTGGTTTCGAGATTGCGCATTGCGCGAATATTCGTATCGCGCGGCTGGTCTCGCGGATCGAGGGGCCGTGTTCATATACATAGCTGAGCGCGTACGTCCTTTATGGGCTCCCTAGTGGAGGAGGAGGTGCAGGTTGTGAAGGAGGTTGAGCAGGAGAGGGGGAGGAGGAAAGGCCAGGTGCGCCGCATCTGACATCCTGCCCCTCCCACTCATCCGTTCCCTAGGCGCTGAATTGTTCTATGCGCGGACGCGTGTCTTCGCGCATCTGGAATTCCAAAGAGGACCCCTTCGTGTCATGCGCAATCGGGCAAGGGGAATTACGTACATTGGGTGAGGAGAGGGAGGAGGATGCGGAGGAGGAGGAGGGGGAGGACGAGGAGTTGGCGGATGAATGGGAGGACTAGGAGGAGGAGGAGAAGGAGGATGAGGAGGAGGTGAAGGAGGAGGAGGAGCAGGAGGAGGAGGAGAAGGAGGAGGAGGGAGGACGAGGAAGGAGGACGAGGACGAACAGCAGGATAGTGGAAGGATGGGGGGGGAGCAGGACGGAAGAGCAGAGGAGGGGGAGGAGGGGGAGGAGGAGGAGGGGGAGGACGAGGAGGAGGAGGGAGGAGGAGGAGGAGGGAGAGGAGGAGGAGGAGGAGGGGAGAGGAGGAGGAGGAGGGAGGAGGAGGAGGAGGAGGAGGAGGAGGAGCAGGAGCAGGAGCAGAAGGAGGAGGAGGAGGGAGGACGAGGTTGAACAGCACGACAGTGGAAGGATGGGGGGGGGCAGGAAGGAGAAGTGGAACATGAAGAGGAGGAGGAAGAAGGAGAAGCGGAAGCAGCGCGAGGCGCAGGAGGACCAGAGGAAGGCGGGGGAGGGCAGAGCTGAAGGCGACAACGATGAGGAAGGACGCGGGTCCAGAAAAGTGGGCCGCGTTGGCGCGAGAGTGCCTTTCCGAACGACCTGAACAGAGCGCCCATCCTAAAGCGAGGCGTGCGCTGCAGCGGCAGCACCACTTAAAAAGGACCTGAAGCGAGCGGATTGCAAAACAAGTCGCATGGCAAATCGGACAGTCTACTTTGGCTTTTGTGCTCGGAAAATTCACGGATGGGGGGCGGGCCAGTCCCCGCCCATTCTCGGGGAAGGGAGGGTGTTATTCATGTTGAGTAAATTGGCATCGCTCGGACGTGCGCATTCTCCCTTCGGCGAGGACCATCGAGGAGCATCCTTGACCATTTGGCGAAAAAGCAACGCACGAAAGTGAACAACAACACAGGGAATGGACGTCCGAGCGATGGCCATGGAGGGGTGAGGGAGGAGGAGGTGCGGGTGCGGGGATGAGTAGGGGGAGGAGGGGGAATGAGGTGGGGGAGTAGGAGGAGGAGGTGGAGGGGCGGCATGAGGGTCAAGGCGGAGGGGGAGAGCGATTTTTGGTAATGGGTAACTGGCAATAGTTTGAGCTGATTGTTTCTGTAGCGAGCCACTTGGTTGCTGCTACTGGGTGTTTGATCCCTTCACGTATTTTAGTTGGCGAGTGCATGTGCCAAACTTGCGATCCGATTTTACCTTTTCGCCCTGCTCCCGTTCCTCTCTGCCTCGTTGTTCGCCTTCCTTGCCCTGCCTCTCCCTGGTGCCGCTGCGTCTGGTGTGATCGAACTTTGTGCACTTGTCCTACCATGCGCTGGCCTGCGCTCGAAGGCAAGTTCACCCTGGAGTGGCGCGGTTTCTTTTCTGCGGGTCCATCTCGCACGCTTGGCTTTGTTTGGTTCCCCCTCTCCCCTCTGCCTCCTCCCTCCTGCTTAGCATTTTATGGAGCATCATTGGCCATACTCATGTTGATGTTTCGGCGGAATGGGTACGACACGCTTCTGTCCATTTCTACTATTTCGGCGCGGATTGTCCTGGTATGTGCTCATGTTTGCTTCAGGCTGGAGATCGCCTGCTTCTCACGGAGCCCCGTCGTTGCACCTGGAGAAGACCAGTGGCAGCAAGTTGACGTGTCGCCGCGCAGTTTGTTCCGATGCGCGGCCTTATGTCTTGGGGATGGCGCCTCGGCCACCAGGGCAGACTCCGCATCGGACGCGGTGGGTTTGCCGTGGAGTCTGCCGCGGTGCTGGCGTCGTCTGCTCGTCTACTTTGGCACGGGGCGCAAGGCTTACCGTGGGCTTGCCGTGGTGACGGTGTCGTCCCATTGGGCGCCGCGTCGAGGACGAGCGGCGCGGCGGCATATTCGGGTGTCCGGGCCCGCCACCCTTTCCCCCTCCTCTCTGTGCACAATTGCGCAGCGCTTGTTTTTCGCCGTCTAACCCCAGGATGCCACGTGGCTGTGGGTCCGTCGCCTGCCCCCGCCGAGCTTCCTTCTCGCGCACTGCAAGGGCTATGGCCGATGCCACGAAGATGAAACTGCCGTTCCAGCTGGTGGCCCATCTGAGTTTTTTGCATCCTGGATCCAGGTCCAGCTTGCGGGCACGATTCATAGCCATATCCACTGCGTCTTGGACTTTCTGGGGAGGGGCGCCAACAGGCCGCGGCGCAGTGGATGTGGACAACAATCTGACCCCGATGGGGTGAGATTGTTTCGTCCACATCCACGGCGCCCCTGGCATCGGAGGAAGGGCGCCCGAAGCTCCAGGTCGCAACGGGTATGGACCAACATCTCGCCCGCACACTTCGGGACATCTTTGTCCCAGGCCACAGCGACCAAGATCCCTGCCGGTGGCTGCAGCCAGAGCTGCGCGGGGATCGGCCTCGGCGTCGCCTGCGCCAAGGCCAGCGGTGACCAGGGCTCTGCTTCTGCGGCACCTGGCACTGCTGCTGGCACCTTGCCGCGGTCGCTGCAGCGGCGGCCTCCGCTCTCGTAGGGCGCTGCTGGATTTTGTGATGGCCCTTCGGAGTGCCCTCCCCTCCCCTCTCTCCGCTGCAGGTCCTCTCCCCGCGCCCCCTCCTCGCCCCTTCCGCTTGTCCTGGCACAGGGCGCTGCGGGGCCGTCGCTGGAGAAGTATAGCACAGGCAGTGGCCCCAGTCGAAGTCTGAAAGAGCAGAGACTTGCTGCAACAACGATGCTGTGTGTCGAGGCACGTCTGGCCGCCCCTCTCCCCGCCCGGCCCCTCCGGAGGCACCACCCCGCTGGGGGCGCAGCGGCCCGACGGCCGCTCCAGCATCGAGCTCAGGGGCCAGGCTTTCACGGCCAGGTGCGCCGCTGACTCCTCCATGCGGCCTCCGCTTTCTCGGCGTCGTCGTCGTCGTCGTCCTCCTCCTCCTCCTCCTCCTCTTCCTCCAAGCCTCTCCATCCATGTCACCCCTCTGGCTGCATTATGGGGATGCTTCTTTCCCCTTATCCCGCGATCCCTTAGCGTGGCTTGTGCCAGGAGGGGCCGTCCCGGGGCCAGGAGAATGAGAAGTAGGACGAGAGCCAGGAGGAGGAGGAGGAGGCTCCGCCTGTCATGCTTTCTCGTATGGTAGGACTACGCAGCCAACACCACACATGAGTTATCGAGGACAGCCTCAAGACGCGTATTCTGGCTCGATGATGCGACCACGATTTTCCTGGTCTCGGAGCTGGTGCTCCGAACATGGCTGTAGTGGTGTTGGGGCGCTACTTTCGGTGTCCCCGCGCTCCATCTCCCTCCTCTTCCTTCTCATCCATCCTCCACCTCTCATCCTTCTTCCTCCCTCCCTTCCTCTCTCCCTCCTTTCATCTCCTCCTCTCCCTCCCCCTCCCCCTCTCCCTTCCTCCTTGGATCCACCGATATCTTCGTGGAACCTCTAAGGCTTCTAGGAAGTTTTGATGCTCTAAGAAGATCCCCTATCACGCCTCCTACCTTTTGTTCCTCCCACACTCTATCCTTCGTTTCCCTCTGCCCCCTCCTCCTTCTGCCCCCTTTTGCATCATAAATCGTGGTTCTCGTCGTCGCCCTGCTCCCTCTTAAGACCCCCCATAGAACACCTCGGATGCCCTGGGATCCTACATATCCCATTCTGGCCGTCGAAAGCCATCCTGTCCTCCTCCTCCTCCTCCTCCTCCTCCTTCCGTAGCCATGTTGGCTCAAGCCCATTTGGCTCAAAAACATCGTGGCGCGGGGTGTCCCGACCACACCGGGATACCGCTAGTCCGCGGCAGTCAGTGAGCTTGCTCTCGGCACCCTTTTCGTGAGCTCCTGCAGGAGCTGCAGTCATGGCCAGGTCGCATGGCAGCGGCGGCTACACGGTGTGCGGCGCCTGCGGGTACTAGGATTGGAACAACCGTTTCTGGAAGCAGAAGGGCTACTGCACGTGCGGCAGATGGGTCGGCTTGCCTGGCCGCAAGCAGCAGCAGCCGTCGCCCGCGCCGCCATGGTGGTCGTCGCAGGGGCAGGTGGTTTCGAGCATCCAGAAGCTGGTCGGCGGCAGTGACAAGGCGCTGGGCCAAGCCGCCAGCCGCCCTCCCCCGCCGACGTCTGTTGCCAAGACCCCGTCGCTGGCGGCGGCAGAGCGGCTCAAGGCGGCCTCCTTCAAGCAGGAGCAGGTTGGCAAGAAGGTCGATCGCTACTGGTGGGAGCTGGCGCCGGCGAAGCACAGGGTCCAGGAGGTGCAGGCGTGCCTCGACGCTCTCACGGAGGAACATCTCCAGGCGACGATGGAACACGAGGCTGCGGTCGCGGCTGTGGCGGGCAAGGACGGCTCTTCCACACACGCGCTGCCCGAGCGCCTCGCCTTCAACCTGGACCCGCCCCTCCTCGCCGACATGGGCGACGCCGACGAGGACTACACGGCTGCTGTGGAGGCGCTCCAGTCAGCCAGGCGCTTGTGGTTGGAGGAGCAGGATAAGGCCTACAACACGCTCGCGGAGCGCGCCGAGCTGCGCGAGAGGGCGGGGAGGTCCAGTCCACTCAGGCACATAATGAGGTCACCCGCATCCAGACCGTGGAGGCAGCGCAGCTCTCCCGCATGCAGCAGGGCCTCCAGGCCAAGGCGAAGCTCAGGCAGGCCGCCAAGAGAGGAGGTCGGCTGACGGAGCGGTGGTGGGCGGTGACGCCGGGGCGGCGCCTGCAGGCTCGGCGGCTGCGGCGGTTGCCAGCCTGGGCGCGGCCGAGTCGCCTGTGCCGCCCACCCCCGTGGCCCCTGAGGCTGACGGCGCGGATGCCGGCGCGGACGTGGGTTCCAAGGTGGTCGACGGTCCCGCTGCGGAGCCGCCTATGCCCGAGCCTTCCCCTGAGCGCAAGGGCGAGCACCTCGCGTTCATCGACTCCGTGCGTGAGAAGGCCACCAAGGACCATGCTGAGCAGCTCGCGGCCAAGGCCAGCGCCAAGGCTGATGCTGCTGCTGGGTCTGCAGGGCCTGCTGTTGCTGCCAAGGGCGGCAGCGAGATCAAGTCGAAGTCGCGTGTTTGACCTGCGCGTGGCTCAGTTCCCAGGGGAGGAGGCATTGGCGTCGGAGCCGCTGCCCCAGGAGGTGAAGGCCCGAGGACCTTCTCGTCTCGGGCCCAAGGTGCCCTCCGCGTTCTTTGCCAGCGTGGAGCGCCGGGGGCCCCAGTCAGAGAGGTACTTCGGTGATCATTCTGGCCATTGCGGTGTGATGGCAGCTGTTGAGACTCATCTCAACGACGATGTGAAGCATATGGGTGCAGTGCGCAACATGTCACGCTCGGGATGGCGGGCGTCTGGCGCTGCCGTGGAGAGCTCGGCGAAGTCGAGCGCGGGCGCGAGAGTGGGTGAGCGGATCGCGGCCAGATGCGATGTGGCGACTTCCCGCTTCAGTCATTTGGCAGCCGCTGCCCAGGGGGGGCCTCCCACAGGCGAGGCTCAACGGGTTCGCGCCGCTGGCGCTGCATCTCGAGCAAGGCAATTTTCTGGTTGCGGCGGCGCATTTTTTGGGGGGGGTTGCGGCATGGGCGGAGCCAACCGACGCAGGTTCCAGTCCGCCTTCCTTGCCGGCCTGGCGGGCCCGTGGGTCGCGCTGGCCGACTGCGGCGCCGCTCCTGAGGAGCTCATGCGCACGGGGTTCCCTCAGAAGGCGCTGGGCGAGCTGCTGCCCCCCCCTGGCGCGGAGGCCACCTGCTTCGAGGGCGGCGGCAGGCTCGTCGACTACGGATTGCGCTCGCACGGCGCGGGCGACCTGGTCGAGCTGGAGACGGTGCCGGACGTGCCCTGGCAGGTGCACGCGGGGCTGCGGCTGCGGGTGGCCGGAGGCGGGCGTCGCTGGGCGCGTCGGCGGCCCGTCGCCCCGCTGGCGACCCCGACGCCGCCGAGGCCCAGTCAGCAGCCGGGTCCAGAATCGAAGGCCAGCAAGCGGCGCGCTGCCGCTCTGGCTCGGCGCCGCGATGCGCTGGCAGCACGCCTGCAGGCCGACTTCGTGGCGATGCTCGCGCGGAGGCCGAGGCCCGCGAGGCGGCGGTGCTGGACGACTGCGGCCCCGGCGTGGATTTCTTCGGCGGGGGCGAGCTGGGCGGCGCCGCGGCCGCCGAGCCTCCTGGCCCTTCCGTGGCCGGGCAGGCGGCGGCTGGCGCCGGGGGCCGGCCCGGCCCGGGGGGGCCGCAGGTGCCCCCCGAGGCCCATGTGGGGGTGCAGGCAGTTGGCCGCAGCCTGTGATACATTGCGGCGAGGACCGACGTGTGATGACGGCGCCTTCTTTCTGCTTGGAGGTTGGCGCCCAGGCCCGGACCATCGACCGCGACGCGCGCGTCGGGGAGCTCGGGGCGGGCGCTGGGCTGGGCGCGCGTGCTGATGGCGACGCCCGTGCTGCGGCGGCCTGGGGGGACTGCGGGCCTGGCGAGGACTTCGTCGGCGTGGGCGTGGACGCGCTGTGCCTCGCGCGGGCTCCCAGTCTGCCCTGCCGAGGCGGGACATGGGGCCGCGGGCCGCGGGCCGCTGGCGCGGGCTGCGGGCGCTGCCCGGGGGGGCCGCAGGCTGCCGCCCCCCCAGGCACACGTCGTGGGTCTGGCCCTTGGCCGCAACCTGTGATAAATTGATGCGTCGGGCGGCAGGTTTCAGCATCGACTTTCAGTATGTTCGATCCCGCAGTGTGCGAGCTGTTGTCCTTGGCGGCGGTCAGGCCCCCCATGGAGGCAGCTTGTGGGGGGTCGCGTGAATATGTTGTGCTTGGCGTTCTGCGAGGTCGGATCCCGCGCAGGCGGACGTCTTGGGCGTGGCCGTGGAGCGGCTGTGTGCGCGTCGCTTGGCGTGCGCGGCAGGCGATGATGAGTCTGTCGTCGGCGCACGCCAATGCCAGCTTGGTCTCCAAGGCCGAGGAGGTGCTCCTGGAGGCCAGCAATGCGCCTGACGGTGAGCGTAGTCGGCATCGCGGTCGCGCTGCTGGCTACGGTTTTCGCTGGCCCCCGCTCAAGCCATCGCCTGGTCGCGCGCGCATGCGGCGTCGGGCGGTTGAGCACTGGGCAGGGGCGCTGGCATTTCTGCAGCAGAGTGCATGCGTCCGTCGGAAGAGCACTGTCGGCAGGGGCCAGCTGGGCCGCTCTCCGGAGGTGCTGCTGCATGAGGCGGCCAAAATCAGGATGGGCACGGCTGGCCCTTTTCCTCGAGCTGCAGGGCCTGGAGTTCCGCCTGCGTGCGATCTCATGGCCAACGGCGCCCTGGAGATCCCCGCAGAGGAGCTGTGCGTCATGGCGATTGTGGCGGAGCGCTTCGCCACCGCTGCGCAGGCGCGCGCCGCGGGCCAGCGTCGCCGTGAGTTCGCGGCGTGGGCGCGCAAGATGTGAAAGAGAAGCCTGGCGCCCTCCACAGGTGGGCGCGTGGCCTTGCGCCCATGGCGCAGGTGCTGGTGGTGGGCGGCGCGCCCGTGACGGTGCCGAGCCAGGCGATGAGCCAGAAGGCCGCTCGCTGGGGCGGCCCGCGGCGCGCTCCCTCGGACTCCCGGCCCGACCTCGCGGCGGCCCTCCAGGGGGCCAAGCGTCGGGCCAGGGGGCCCCCGCTGGAGCCGCGCGAGTGCAGCAGCATCGGCCTGGCCGCTCGGGTTCAGGGCTCCATGAAGGCGAGGGGCCTCGACGGCCTCGGCTCGGACGACCTTGGGAGGCTGCCGCCCGAGGTCCGCGAGGAGCTGCGGCCCCTGCTGGCGCGCTGCGAGGAGAAGTGCTGCTGGCCGCGGCAGATTCTGGAAGTCATCGGCGGTGCGCTCCCCGAGCAGGCAGGTGGCGAGCGCGCCATCGGCCTTCTGCCGCTGGTGCCGAAGATCTGGTCCCGCGCGCGCTCTTCGGCCACGTCAGCTTGGACAGAGGAGCTGGGCGCTTTCTGGGGCGCTGCTGTCCGCGGCCCCAGCGCGCCACGAGCGGCGCGGCGCTGGTGCGCAGCCTCCTCGACGGGGCGGGCATCGAGCTGAGGTGGCGGCCGCTGGCCTCCTGCTGGACGTGGAGACCGTCTACAACCCATCGCGGAGCGGCTGATGTGCCCGGCAATGGTGGTGGCCCTGGAGGTGCAGCTGTTCCTGCTTCGCGCTACCTGAAGGACAGCCACCACGGGTACTCAGGTGGAGGCGACCCGCTCCGTCGTGGCGGGGTCGGCGCATGGGGTGTCCTTCGGCAAGCTGTACCTCCGTCCGCTCCTGCAGCAAGCTCATGTGATGTGCCCGCGCTGGCCTCTGGAGCTTCATCGGTGGCACCGTCATCCGCCGTGAGGGGTCGGCCAATGCCGCGGGGAGGAGCTACCCCCCATGGCCAAGGTGTTCATGGATGGCACCGGAGCGCAGGAGCTCATAGGCTCGCCCAAGACGGTGCTCGCGGCGTCCAGCAGCGAGCTGGCAGCCAATTTGTCGGACAGTCTCGTGGCCATGGGCATTCCGCATTCGGCGTCGGACAAGGCGGTGGACCTCGGCGTCGACGCCGCCTCGGGCCGTCGCAGGGCGCGCGCCGTGGCGTCGGCTCGCATCGCTGCTGGAGCCCGGCGTTGGAGGCTCATCATGAAGCTGCGGCGGGCCACTGCCAGACCCGCGGAGTGTCGAGGTTCGCGGGCGACGGGCGTGCTGCCGCAGTCGGTCTACGGCCGCCAGGTCAGCGGCGCTCCATTTGGTTTGGTGCGGCAGCGACGACGACGACGGGCTGGCCATGCTGTGGGTGGTGCTGCCCGCGGACGGTGCCTGGCGTCCGTGCTGGCGGCCGCTGTCGGGCTGCGCGACCCCCGCATTGCCCTGCGGGTGCAGCTGGTGGCGTCGTGGTGCAGTCTTTGGTTCTCCAACGCGTCGCTGCGCGGCCGCATTGAGCGGGCCTGGCCCTGGTTCCTCGGTGCCCTTCGGCGCGTTGGCAAGTGGCGCCAGGGGCGGTTCCGCGGTCCCATGGGCGCGTGTCAGGCGACGTTGCTGGACATGGGCTGGGGCCCGCGCGCGGCCGCGGTCTGGGCGCGCCCGACTGCGGAGGGCGCTGGCGAGTGGAGGCTGGTGGGCGCCGAGGACGAGGGCTTCCACGCATGCGCCGACTTCGGCGGGGTGCTTCAGGCCGTCGAGGAGGATCTCAGGCTCCGGCTGTGGCGGTCTGCGGCGTCGCGCCTGCGTGGGGGCGACCTCGTCGGTGGCGCTGACTTTCTGCGCGTCGGCCGCGAGATCAATTTGCTGGGGCGCGAGGCTCGGCGCGCAGGAGTAGTGGGTCCTCGTCCTCACTGTGGTCTCTGGCGGCCGGTGGGCGAGATCCCGTCGCGCTGCTGCTGGCCATGTGCTGGGGCAGGAGGGCCGCGCGCGGTGCGGCTGCGCGGGCGAGACACTGCGGCGCAGGATCTGGCAGTGTCCTGCGATTGTGGGTGAGGTGTTCGTGTCCACCGCTGCCCTTGTGCCTCGGGCGCTCGCTGGACACGAGGCATCGCCTGCCATGTGCATGCGCGGGGTGCCTATATCGTGCGCGACCGCTCCCGTCTTCTGCGACCAGAGGGTGGAGCAGAACGCGGTGTCCCTCGGCGCGGACAGCGTTCTGGGGTCGACGAGGCGCGACGACGGCTTCGTGGTGGTCTACGGCGACGGCTCAAGTGGGAAGTGCTCCGATGACCCGGGGCGCAGGCGCTGCGCTACCAGCGTCGTGGCCATGGGCCAGGACGAGGACGGGCTGTGGACCGACGTGCGCTGATTTCGTGCTGTGCCCGTCCCTGGCAGACGTCAGTCGGTGCCGCGCGCGGAGATCCTCGGCTTCTTGCTGGCGCTGGAGTCCGTCGGAGGCAACATCAGGTACGTGACTTACCACGAGCCCTTCTGGCTGTGCTGTACGGGGGGTGTCCTCCGTGCTGCCTGACGGTGCCAACGAGGACCTCTGGCAACGTGCGCGCCAGGCACGGCGGGGCAGGCCTCCTGGCGCGAGCGAGGTGGTCTGGGTCCCCGAGCACGCGGACGAGGAGGAACACCTGCGGCTGCTGAGGTCGGAGACGGACTTCGAGCGGGCGTTGTGCACTGCCGCTGCTGATGCGCTCGCGAGCGCGGCGGCTGCGGCCTGCTGGCGCCTGGGGCTCGTGGGGACAGCCGCTCGCCGGCGTGGTCGACGCTGAGGTTCGCATGGTCTGCAGCATGGCCTGCAGGGCCCTGGTGCTCGCGGCTGAGGCTGATCAGCTGCATGGAATTCGATGCCCGGGGCCGCGTCGGCCCCCTCGCTCTGCTGCCGCCGCTGCCTGCGCCAGTTCGTCGCACGGGCTGCAGCAGTGTGGATCGGAGCGTTGGGTCTGCACCAGCTGCCTGTGCGTGGTCGGCCAGAGCCAGCTGTTCTGTTTTGCGGCCGCCGCATGCATGTGCAGGCCCTGTGCCGTCGGAGGAGGGACGACGGTCGAGGCGCTGGGCGGATCGCCCGTGCCTGTGGCCGCGGGTGTGCTGCAGAAAGGTGGGGGAGGAGCCGTGGACCTCCACCCCTCCCATGTCCTGCATGCCGTCCCTGTTTTTTGCATCACATGTTGTGCCAGGTGTGGTTTCCATACCTCGATCACGAACGGGCGCGATGCACGCTTTCTTCGTCTGCCGCGTCGTGGTGCGAATCGAGGTGGCAATGAGAATCTCAGTTGAATTCGGGGGGGCTTGCATCCTCGTCGGGAAGGCCCGCCCCGAGGCAACCTCCGTGTCCAGGTAGCCCTCCTCGCTGCTGCCGCAAGCTGCGAACAGGCGACGGAGGCTGCTTTTGAAGCTTTCGAACCGAGCCCGAGCCTGCACCAGCCCCCAGGAGGGCCGCGCAGCTAGGGCGGTGTGGTGGAAGCGAGGGCCACGCTGGGGCTTCGGTGCCTGCGTGGTGTTCGTTCCCTGTCTTGGATGCGTGGTCCGACTGGGCCTCTGATTAAACTAAGCGTTCCTAAGCGTTGCTCCTCCTCCTCCTTGTCCTCCTCCTCCTCCTCCTCTCCTCGTCCTCCTCCTCCTCCTCCTCTTCCCGAGGGGTCGGGGGAGGGAAGAACGACCGATGAGCGAGAGCCAGACGTGAGAACAGCGAAGTTGACTAGAGGCTGCCTCTCTACCGCCGCTCGAGTTGGCCTTCGGTTGGGGTTGTGTGCCTCAGAGGTGTCGACAAGCCAGTGCCTCACTCGAGGAATGCAGGCATCATATCTTATTGTAATGCCACCATTCGGGTGATGAGGAGGATGTGTGTGTGTGTGCGTGTGTGAGGAATTCAGCTTTCGGTGTGCGATTTGTGTCGGATCGGACCCGGCGGAAACACGTTGGGCACCACCACCACGGAACACCTCTTTGGCCAATTGTGTATCGATGCCACTCCTTAATTATGTACCTGTCGATCCCATTATCGATCTACCTCTACTTGTCGGTCTCACAGTCTATTGATCCCCATAGTCGACCTCACTATCGATCTCACTATGGATTTGCCGATCGATCCTACTACTGATCTCATTATGATCTCACTTCAAGTGCATACACAAAAAACGCCCCTACCTTGGCTTACGAGGCGCTGTGCGCTGAAACTCCTTTGGGCTGACAGGGAAAACCGTGCGTGATGTGCGGCGTCCTGGCGGCTCTCTAGGCTTTGGGGGTTCCCAGGAGGCTTACAGACCGCGCACTTGTAACCCATGGTAGGGTCGTTTTTTCATCCCTCAATCACTATCGGTCTCACCATCGACCTCACGGGACAGCCAGGGGACACCACGGGACACCGCGCTGCGGGACACCACGGGACCACACGGGACACCCCTGGACACCGCGCCACGGGACACCACAGGACACCGGTGGGACACCCCCGAGCCACCTCCAGCCAACCGGGGGGCGTAGAGTCATTGATCGAAAATTGGAGCATGTACATTACCAGTGGCGGGCTCTCGTTCAATCACAGGACTTTTTTGAGGGTAGGGGGCGATGTCGGGGTGGTGTGGTGTATGCTTGTTTCCCCGTTTCCCTGTGGAAGCAACCGAAAACGTATACACCAGGATCCCGTGCAAGTTTCAGTGCAGGGCCGCAAAAAGCATCGGTGTATAGAGTTCGGTTCCCTAATTGAGCTCAGTTTCGCCTTAGCCACGGCGGGTTCATTCCTCTCGCTCGCCCACGTAGCTTCGCCTCGCCCGCACGCACGACACAGACACGAGACCGAATCCGGTTTCCCAGTGGGGGGTCTCCGTTTCACTTCGGATTCGCTCCCCAACCTCCGATGTTGCCGATTTCCGTGATTGTCGAAACTACCCACTCACTCCCAGAATCCCAGGCAAGGTAGCCTTCAGGCTGACTGATGTGGATTGCCTGGGCTTGTCTCGTCTCCTCTCCTCCTTCCCCGCCCCCCCCCCCTCCTCTCGGGCCGGACGGCAGGGTAGGATGAAGTCGGGCCTGTCCCTTTACAGGGGGATTTTGGACGAAAAATAAGAACTACCCAGAAAATTGTAAAAACATGCCACAAAATACTCCAAAGGCAGTCCCCAGACTATTTTTCAGTATTTTTGGATGTTCCCCCGTAGAGGGACAGGCCCGACTGAAGGGGAGGATAGGCAAGGGGGGGGGGGTACGACATCTGCCGCACGCAGCTGGTTCCCGCCCCGCCGCCGGCTCCATTCCTCGATGCATTGCATGGGCGCCTCCTGGCGCCAGGAGAGGCCAGGAAAACGAGCTGCGTGAGCTGGTTCTCTGCCCTGCCCTCTGCCTATCCCACCCTCGTGGAAGTCGACGAATGGAGAGGAAGCGTGCTGCCAGGCAATTTCCAGATGCCTAAAAGATGTTGCTTCCACTGTGCTTTAAACATGTAAGATATTTGAAACCTGTTGAAATCATGTTCTATACACTTTAAACACATCTTTAATTCAAGGATCGGATTGTTAGAGCGTCCACTGTCATGGCATCCACAATCCTTCCCTTTCGTCCCCCCGATCCTCCATCCCAGGCTCGAGCCCACGATCTCGCAGCTCGTCTCGAGCGAGGGCGACGCGTGGACGCGCGTGCTGGACACCACGGGCAGGCAGCCGGAGCCGCCCCCGGAGGTCGGCAGCCCGGTCAAGTTCAGGGGCTTCGCCGGCTGCACCATCAAGCAGGTGCTGGGCAGGCGGAAGGCTCCGCGGCGTGCAGGGCGACGACGACGACGAAAATGGCGACGGCGACGACGAAGACCACGGCGAAGATGACGACGACGATGTCGCCGAAGATGACGACGCAGAAGGATAATAGTTGTAATAGTAATAAGAACAATAATAAGAGTACGAGTAATACCAATCATAATAATGATGAGAAGAAGATGAAGCATACGGATGATAATGATAATGACACTCATAGGAATGATACTAATACTGGTAAGACTAGTACTAGTAATACTAGTAAGCGCAATCATAATACAAGGAATACGAATACGAATAATAATACGTTTGATATACGAAGAATATATGTAATACTATGAATGATATCAAGAATCAGGGTAAGAAGAAGAGGACGACGACGACGACGACGGCTTCTGGGCCCCCTCGGGAAGTGCAGCGGGCGGTAGGGCCAGGGGGGCGCGGCGGCGGGGCCTTTGGGGAGCTCCCCCCCTTCCACGACGCCGTCATGCCGGGGAAGCGTAGGACTCGAGTTCGCCGGATCTTGGCCCTGCCGGCACCTTTGGACGGTCCCGTCCTGGACTTTGACGCTCCAATTTTCACGGGACGTTTGCGGCGGGACTTCGCACCTGGCTTCATGTTGGGTCTCGCCGTTTTTCTGAAGGCCACGCCAGGCCGACCCGAGTCCTCCAAACTCTCGTCTCCCCGATCATGGGAATCGAAGACGAAGAAATGGCATAAGCATAAACTTTTGGCGCTCTGCGCGGATTTCTTGGATCTGCGCTGGGCCCCCCTGGCGGCGTCTCTGGCGCCGCCCCTGGTGCGCTCCGCGCGCCAGGGAGGGGGGCCCAGCGCAGATCCAAGAAGTCCGCGTGGAGCGCCAGAAGTTGATGCTCATATTGTTCTTTTTTGCTTCTTCTGGGCAAGCATCCGATCGCCCGCCCGAAAGTCCCGTCTCCCCGCTCGTGGGAAGCATCCGATCGCCCTCCCGAGAGGCTCCCTCCCCGCCCTCCTCTCGGAAGGCTGCCCCCCCCCCTTCGCGCCCCGGTGCCCCCCCCGCGGCTCGCCGCCGCCGCCGAGGTGCTGATCCACATCCCGGGCGTGGGGGACCAGGAGGCCACCCTGGGGGAGCGCGGCGCTCAGCAGCCTCTGTCGGGTGTTGCCAGAGGTGCCCCTGGCTCAAGGTGCCCCCCCAGGATTTCCAAGGAGGCCCCCACGGCTTCCAGAGCACCCCTCCCGAGGCCTCCAGAAGGTTCCAGGGGCGCAGGAGCACCTTTAGCAACCCCCGACGTTGTCACGAGCGGCGGACCTATCCTTAGTTAAGTCGGGCCTGTCCCTCTACAGGGGGAATCTTCAAACATAGGAAAAAATAGTCAGGGGAAGATTGTTAAAGCATTTTCATAATATTTTTGAGTATTTTTTTTTTGGGGGGGGGTCCAAAATCCCCCTGTAGGGAGACAGGCCCGACCTAAGCTCAGGGGCACCTTTGGCAACCCCCCGACGTGGTCACGAGCGGCGGACCTATCCATACCCACGCCCTCGCGGTGTGGATTCTGGGGCGCGGCCCCGCGGATACGCCGTCGCACGGATGCGTTCCGCGAGGGGCATCCTCGAGAGAGCTTCCGCACTCGCAGGGTTGCGGCCCAGGGGCCTGGCCCGCGAGGCCGTGGACATGGGTCCGTTCCCCGCCCAGAATGAAGTCGGGCATGTCCCTCTGCAGGAGGAGTGCTCAAGAATAGCGAAAACGATTGGCGAGCAAAAGCAGCAGTGACATTGTGCACATCGGGGGGGGGGGCCTTGCCGTGGCCCTGCTTGCCCCTGGCCACTGCAATGCAGCTGGTCCTCGATGCCTCCAGCACCTGGGATGTGGCGGATGCTGGATGGGGGAGGGGGGGGGGATCGGCGGCGCGCGAGGGGGGGAAGCGAGGAGGAGAAGGCCTTCTCAGACGGCGGCGGGGCTTCCCAGAAAGCCTCCGGCCTTTGTTGTGGGGCTTTCTGTGTCTTCGGGGAAGGCTTGCAGACGCTTCTCATGAGGCTGGGGGGCTTCCGAGCCTTCTGACTCGGGAGCCTTGAGACAGTGGTCAATGCAGGCGGGGCTCAGCCAGAGCGCTGGATCTTGCAGGATCCTGCGGAGCCAGGGGTGCATGGCCTCGGGCTTGCGCGCAGGATCCTGCAGGATCCTGCTTAAGCCTGAGTGACCCTGTTTTGCACTGACCCGGGCCAGTGCGTTCCCAGCTGGGAAGGCCCGCCCCTTCTCACTTCTCCCCCGGGTTCGCCGCCGAGCGGAGGAAGCCGCTGCACGGTCGGAAGCGATGACGACAATGATGGCGATGACGACGATGACGATGGCGAGAACGATGACGATGACAGACGATGACGATGACGATGCTGGTTGACTGCTGAAAAGGCCCACCCATTCTCACTTTCCCCACGGGCTCGCCGCAGGGTGGAGGAAGCGCGAGCACGGTCGGAAGCAGCAGCATCGGCGGTGGCAGTGAGGGTCACGCGCGCACGCGCCCCATGTGGCGGCCACGTGGGTTGAGGGCAGGCGCCGGCGCGGCGGAACGGAACGATCCGACGCCTGTTTGGGGGAGGGCATGAGAGAGTCACACGCACGCGTATGCATATACATGTCTAGAAACTACATGCGTACACGCATGCATTTGCTTCTACATAAGCAAGGACGTATATATATAGAGAGAGATAGGCTTCGATATCGCAATACGGATATGTGGATATGCAGCATCGGTCTGTAGCGTACAATAGTTGTAAGATGTAATATATATATATATATATGACGCTGGTGTAGTAATACCTATATATTTATACATACATATATATATATATAGATACCTAGGGCGAGTGATACAGATCATGTTTGCGTATATGCGAAAGAGCGTGTTCTACCGCTGTTGGCGGAAAACCGGAGGGGGGTCACTACTGGTTCGACCCCCCCCCCCTCCGGAAAACGAGGGGGGGTCACTACCGGTTCGAACCCCTCCCTCCCCATGAAAAAGGAAGGGGGTCCCGGTTCGACCCCCCCCCCCCCTCGAAAACCGGGGGGGTCACTACCGGTTCGAACCCCTTCCCCCCCTTCGAAAACCGGGGGGGATCACTACCGGTTCGACCCCCCCCCCCTCGCCGCCGGCAAACGATGCCCGCTTCTCGGGACAGTTGGAGAATGGTGGGGATGTTGGGACAGTGGGACAGTGGGGACAGTGGGACAGTGGTTGGGGCCGTGGAGAAAGTGGGGAGAGTGGAACCGTGGTGGGAACAGTGGTGGGGACAGTGGGGACAGTGCGACAGTGAGTGAGGGCACTGGTGAGGACCGTGGTGACGGTGACGGGAACAGTGGGGACAGTGGTGTTGAGGACAGTGGTGTTGGGGACAGCAGTGGGGGTTGTGGTGCGGACGGTGGTAGGGACCGGGAGTCGTTTGCTGGCGGTGGGGGGCGGGGAGGGGTTCGAACCGGTAGTGACCCCCCCCGGTTTTCGAGGGGGGGGGGTTCGAACTGGTAGTGACCCCCCTGGTTTTCCCCGGGGGGGGAGGTTCGTGACCCCCCGGGGGGGGGGGTTCGAACCAGTGGTGACCTCTCTCTGGTCTTCCGAAGGGGGGAGGGGGAGCCGGTAGTGACCCCCCCGGGTGTTCCGGAGGGGAGGGGGGGGGAGACGGGGGGGGGTTAGGAGAGGGGAAGTTTTTGCCAGGGGAAGGGGGGGGGTCTAGCAGAGGGGGGGGGGACTTTCGGAAGGGGGGGGGAACCGCCGGGTTCCGGAGGAGGGAGGAATTTTCACAGTAGAGCGGCGGTGGATCACGCTCTCTCATATATGCATATACGTATATATATAGTTATACGTAGACAGAGGGTGAGCGCACATAAATACAACATACACACATATGGAGAGAATAGTTGGGAGGGACAGAGCGAGCGAGAGAGTGAGAGAAAGACAGAGGGAGACAGGGAGAGAAAGTGTGAGAGAGAGCATCCATGACCATACATATTTATATATATGTATATATATACATATATATACACATGCACAGCCATACAGTGCATACCGTTACATGTGTTTATACAGCTATTGTTCTAGATGAAGAGTGAAAGCGAGGATGGAGACTGGACTCGGCAGAATGTGAACCCATGGGGAAGTCGAGTGTTCATGCCCAGAGTAGAAATCCATCAACAGTTACATGGGTTGCTGAATGTGGATTCTCATGGAGGAGGGCGATGGTAGTGTGATCGACGTCATCAAATATGTGCCTTTTAGTCGCGAGTGTGATACAATGTTGTGTATATTTTCCAGCTGACAACGTTTAAAGCATGAGACATGGTAGTGTCCATAATCTCTTCGATCGTATCGTAGATGCCTACGGTGAGTCACAGCCGCCCCCTGCCTCTTGGAAGCGCGCACATTGTGGAATGTCGAGCGGAAGTGCGGCCGCCCTTGTGCATGCTGTGTTTCCCCAGCTGGTGTGGAAGCCGCCGGGGAGACATCGGGAACGGACCCTCGGGGGCCGTACGCTGAAATCATGCGACAGGCTTATGCTTTCCAACGAGGTGAGCGTCTGGGTGGCCCTCGTGTCCTCCAAGAGGGCCCCAGAGGCTCCAAGGACAGCCCCAGGACGGTCCCTCGGGGCTATCTTAGGACGCGTGGGGCGTGTTGACTCCAAGCCAGGCCCCCAAGTCCCTGGGAAGGACACGCGGGGAGCCCCGGGGGCGCCCAGGGGGTGCCATAAGCGCCTGGAAGCAACCAACAGTTCCAGGATTTACCTTGCTTGATAATGGGGACACGAAGGGACTTGAGAACGTTTCGGTAGATGCTTCGCTGCACGGGGTCAGATTTGATTTGACTTGCGCGCAATACGTGACAAATTGAGCATTGAACAGCTGTCGGCACCACGTATGGTCTTCGCGTGGACTCTCGTTCGGTTGTTTCAGCTTCGATTCGAACCTAAGTTTTTCCCGTTCGGTGCTCCCCCGGTCAGGTTCTTCGTGCCAGTTTCGCTCTACGCGGATGCGGCCAAGACGCTGAAGTAAGGACCGCGTTGGGCTCCAGAGGGGCTCTGTTTCGCATGCCGTTCCTTAGTTCTAGGCCGGGGAGCCTCGTCGTGGCCAAGGCTCGCCGTGGGTGGACGAGCCCCTTCGTGATTGCTGCGGCTTTCGTCATGGCAGCACGATGGCCGTATTGACGCGCGAGCGCACACGTAGAAATAATTCAGGCACGCAAGTCGACGGGCACGAAAGTCGGAAACTGGAACATACACATTACCAGTGGCAGGCTGTTTTTCAATCCCAGGACTTTTTTGAGGGTCGGGGACGACGTCGGGGTGGTGTGGTGAATACTTGTTTTCCCCGATGTCCCGGGGAAGCAACGGCAAATGTATACACCAGGATCCCGTATACACCAGGATCCGCCTTCCAGCGCAAATTCTGATTTGCAGGGCCGGAAGAAGCGTTGGTGTATAGAGTTCGATTCCCTAGCAAGCTCACACAAATGCACACACACACGCTGACACACACACACACACTCATTAACATCCGAGGTACAGCCTGTCCGGCGCGGGGGTGCACTCCAGCGCCGACGGAAGTTCGGGGAGCACGCAGTTGGCGAAGCTGCAGCGGCTCAGCAAGGACCGACTCAGCTTCAACGGAGGAGTGCCAAGCTGGAGCAGGCCGACCTGTATGGGAGATCTGCGCAGTTCTTTGGAGCACCAGTTCGCTAAAAGCAGTATCGAACGACTCCGTTAGACGCGAGGGGGGGGTAGCGTACGGTCGGGAACTTTCTGCTAGCGTGTCGCGCCTCCCGTTCTGGCCCATCGCGCTTCGACGCGACACGCTGTCCACGTCCTTGTCCCTAGGCGGTAACGTCCCGAGCCGTTCGGACGGCAGAAGACCGGTTCAACAGACGACTGGTTCAACAGGGACGGGTTCAACAGGCGACAGGTTCAACAGACACCAGTTCAACAGACGACCGGTTCAGCAAAACCCGGTTTAAAGAAGACCGGTTCAACAGGACCGGCTAACCAGTTCCGCGGAACCAGTTCCACAGGACGGGTTCCACAGGACTGGTTCCACAGAATTGTTTCCACAGGCCCGGTTCCGCAGGACAAGTTCCACAGGCCAGGTTCCGCAGGACCAGTTCCACAGGACCGGATCGGTCCACTGGCGCTCCAGACACTCCAGGCACTCTGGGTCTTCGCGGTGCTCTGGGCCAGGCACTCGAGCCTGGTGCTCCAGCACCCGCCCGCCCGCCCGACCCGACCCGACCCGCCCGTTCGGGTACTCGCGTTCCAACTCGATGATGCGCAATACTTGAATGTCCTGCTCGCCCGACCCGACCCGCCCGCCCGACCCGACCCGTCCCGCACGTTAGGGTCCGCTCGACCCGTCCCGTCCGTTAGGGTACTCGCGTCCCACCTCGAATATGCGCCATGCTTCAATGTCCCGCCCGCCCGACCCGACCCGACCCGTCCGTTAGGGTCCGCCCGCCCGACCCGACCCGAGCCGCCCGTTATGGTCCGCCCGCCCGCCCGACCCGACCCGCCCGTTAGGGTACTCGCGTCCCACCTCGAATATGCGCCATGCTTCAATGTCCCGCCCGCCCGACCCGACCCGACCCGACCCGACCCGCCCGTTCGGGTCCTCCCGCCGACTCGACCCGTCCCGCCCGTTAGGGTCCGCCCACCCGCCCGACCCGACCCGCCCGTTTGGATTATCGCGTCCCACCTCGATGATGCGCCATACATTAATGTCCCGCTCGCCCGACCCGACACGCCCGTCAGGGTACTCGCGTGCAAGCTCGATGATGCGCAATTTGATCATGTCCCGCCCGCCCGACCCGACCCGCCCGTTAGGGTCCCGCCTCCCGCCCGACCGGCCCGAGCCCCCCAGTAGGGTCCGCCCGCCCGACCGGTCCCTCATCCCTCCTTCCCTTTCTCATCACTCACGTTATGCTACTTCTTCTCATCTCTCATCCGTCCAACTCTGGGCTCAGAGATGTCCGCACTTAAGGTGATGCGATTTGGTTTGGCCCATTTTCCCGAGACATCCCTTGTGCTCAGTAGCATTTGCACGGCTTGTCGCAAGTGCAGAGTGGTTCTTTTGGGCCGTTTCAGCTGACGATTCTTCATTCTCCTCCTCCTCCTCCTCCTGCTCCTTTTCCTCCTCCTCCTCCTCCTCCTCCTCCTCCTCCTCCTCCTCCTCCTCCTCCTCCTCCTCCCCCCTCTGTCTTCCTTCATCCCTCGCACCCCCTACTTCTCTTCATCCCTCATCCCTCATCCTTCCGCCCTCCCTCCCTCATCCCTCCTTCCCTCATCCCTCATCTATCCCTCCTTCACCCTAATTCTCACCTACCTCCCTCATCCCTCCATCATCCATCCCTCCCTCTCTCCTCCTTCGTTCCTCCCTCCCGCCTCCCTCATCCCTCATCCTTCCCTTCCTCCCTCCCTCCCTCTTTCCTCCTTCCCTCATCTCTCACCTCATCCCTCCCTCATTCCTCCCTCATCCTCGCTCGAGAAGTGGTACTGGGGACGCGGTGTCTGGGGAAACGGTTCCGGGGAGGAGGGTGCACATAGGAAACGGTTCCACGTAGGCAAGAGTGTCTTGGGAAACGGATCCGGGGAAGCGGTTCCCGGGAAACGGCTCCGGTGAAGCGGATCGGGGGAAGCGGTTCTGGGGAAATGGTTCCGGGGAAACGGTTTTGGGGAAACGGTTCCGGGGAAAAGCGGTCCTCGGGGGAAGGGGTCTCTGGGCAAGAGGTCTCCGGGGAAACGGCCTTCCGGGGAAACTGTTCCGGGGACGCGGTTACCGCACATCCGCGGACATCCGCGGTGTGTCGCCAGGGCCGCCGCCGCGACACGCTAAGCACGCCTTTTGACCAGACCCCCCCTGGAATCCTCCGAGAGAGCTTCATTCAGACCCCCTACCAAATCAGACCCAAATCAGAGTATCCTTTGAAAGGCGGTCCTGGCCTCGAGATGCAGTCTCAAGTCGCGTGCTCGTGTCGCGTTCGTGTCGCGTTCGTGTCCAGGGTGGCCTCGTGCGTTCGCAGGTTGCGCGCGCCAGGTCTCCAGGGCCGCTGGCGCTCGCCCCCCTTGAGGCTCGCGGTCGCCGGGTCTTCGTGGCGCGATCTCCTCGCTGTGTGCTCGCCCTCCTCGTCATCCTGCCGACACCTGACACCTGATGGCTGCAAGGTCCCCCCCCCTGCCTCCGGGCCGGTCGGCCCTGAGGGGCGTTGATCAAAGTTGAGCCAGGGGATCCCTGGAGCACCGCTCCGAGGGTCCCTGACAGGTGTTTGGAACGAGAGGAAATGGTAGTAGACGGACAGACAGACAGCAGAGAGGAGGAGGAGGAGGAGGAGGGGAGGAGGGAGAGAGGAGGCTTCATATGGTGAACGAGGAGAGGGGGGGTATGAGTAGGGAATGGTGGGCGTCATCCTGCTTTCCCTCCTCCTGCTCCGCCGCCCCCTGTTCCCGCCGCCGGATCGCGCCCGATGGTTCGGTGTGTAGATCATTAAGCTCGCTGCGTTTCTGGAGCATGCATGGTTGCCAAACCGTGCGCAGGTAGACCTCCCCTGGGTTCTCCAAGGCACTTTAGACCTCCCCTGGGTTCTCCAAGGTACTTCGAGAGGAAGTACATTCGTCCGGCGAGAAAGTAGGCAATGGGTTTCACAGGCCTGTCGCCATCACCTCGCGCAGCTGATTCTGAATTAGCGCCTATGAAGTCACGTGTTTTTGGCCTGGTGCCACTTTTTTTTGGAGCCCTTCGTCGTCATCGGAAGCCTCGGACGCCTCTTCCCGCCGCTGGGTTGTCAGGGCGCGGTGGCATAATTGCGCCGAAGTGGCGTCGCGCTGGGGTCGCCGTGGTTTCGTGGTGGTCTCATTGGAGCGTCGTCGTGGCGTCGCGTGGTGTCGTGGCAGTGCCTCAGTGGTTTCGACCGGTCAGGCGTACGAGAAGGGCAACATCCATTGTCATTGCCCTCCTCCCCTCCTTTCCCTCGCTCTTGTCGACCTCCTCCTGCTCCCCGCTCCACTACAGCACCTCCTGCAGGCAAGGACAGCGGGAGGGCGCCGCCCCCGACTCATAGAGGGAGAACTCGCAGAGTGGGGCTCCACACGACGCGAGCGTGTCGAGGGCCGCCGCTGCGGCAGCCATACTGGCTCCACGTCGCTTTGCAGAGGGCCGCCAGCTCGGTCCTCGCCCGGTTCTCGCGCTGGCGCGGTCGCCCGGTTCTCCCGCTGGCGGCGCGGAAGTCTGTGGCCTGCAGCTGGTCAGCTGGTGCCTTCCTTCGGGACGACCGACATGGGTACGGAAAGAACGGGTACAATGCCCAACAGCAGTTCCTGTTCATTTTGCACAGGACTCGCTGTCCGCGCCGCCGCGGCCTGTGTCTATTTAAGACAGGAGGCCGCCTGCCCAACAGCGGCCGCTGTTGGTTTGGGACAAGATTTGTAGTTGGGCATTGTACCCATTTTTCCGTACCCACTTCGGGCGTCCAAAATCCTTCTTTCCGCCCCGTCGCGGGTTCTGCTCGCCCCGCCCCGGCAGAGGGTGGCCACCCGCTGGGGCGCTGAGGACGACCGAGCTTGCGAGTTGCGGTAATTTTGGGCTGCAGAGGTGCTCTCCTCCAGGGGCTCCTCGCGAGAGCGCGGAGACAACCGCGCTCCGCGCTGCGCTCGGCACGGAGCGCGGGCCCTGCCGACCTGGTAGCCCGCGCTTCCTCTCCGCGACCGCAGGGCCATTCTGCCTGCCGGCGGCGCCCACCACCGGGGCTGGCGCGAGGGAAAGGGGGACTTCCCAGGAGCCCGCCCGGCGACTAACAACCCTTCTTACATCGGGGCTCAAGAGATGGGGCTCAATGCAAACAGGGCTCATTCAGGGCACCGGATCCTGCAGGATACCCCGTCTGGCTGACCCGGGTTAGCGAGCCGCTCGCGGCCGCGAGGCGGCCGCGCATATTGGTTGACCCGGGTTTGCGAAGACCTGCGATGCAGTTTTTTCCCCTGCATTTCAGTTTTTTGTTTTCCTGCTGGCTCGGGTTTGGATTGACCGGGGTCAGAAGTTCCCCGATTATAGTCGAGCACCTGATCAAGAAATCTCCTCCCGGAAAGCTGGGTCAGCGTTTCTTGGCCAGCCTGCCTGAAAGCCGGCCCAGTATCTTGACCACGTCCGCCCCTCCAGGGCTAACGACAGATCTTGGCCCAGGCTTGTTTTAAGAAGGTTGTGGGAACTTGGCTCAGTCTTCTCATATGATGAGGTTCTTGATCACATTGTCGGCTGTAGAAGCCTCCGGGGCCCTCTGAGAAAAGCCACCTTCGCCTTCTTGGACGGCCGCCCACCTCCCGCCACCCCCCTCTTCAGGGGCAACGATTGGAGGGGGATGGGCACAGGGGGGCATGCATCGAACCCCCGATCGCACACTGATCGTGGACGGGGCTCTGCTAGCCCGCCCCCAGGCCGCGTGCGCACTCGCCATTCGGAGGCCCATCGCCGATCTATCGGCGATGTACCGCCGAGCCCAGGTCGATGTTCCTCCCCCCCCCCCCTATGCCAGTCTCCCCCCTGTCCTTGCCTCTCTCTCCTCCTCCTCCTCCTCCTCCTCCTCCTCCTCTGAGGAGGAGAAGGAGGAGGAGGAGGAGGAGGAGGAGGAGGGAGGAGGAGGAGGAGGAGGAGGAGGAGGAGGAGGAGGAGGAGGAGAGGCCGGGGGATTGTGGAGCCCCCTGTCGTTCTCATACGGCTTTTATCTAGTG